AATGATTCTGTTGACTGTCAAAAGTGGGATTCCCAAATTCTGCGAAATTTGCCGCTGACTTATTCCACCATCTGCTTGACCAACTATCCTTCCTGTAACAAAATCTGACAATTCGAGAGAACCTTGAGTTTTAGACATGTTGTAGTACAAGATAATTAGTGTGTGGACCATTTTCATTTATATAGTGCTCTGTGAACACAAATTAGTTAGCATAAATCAGTTAAATGACGAAAAATTAGGTGTCTATTTACTTGTGACCACTCAGTGTATAAACTGAGAAAATGTAACAAAGAAGAAACATTTTTTGAAAAGTGAAGCTTGAGCTTAATTTAGTCTAACACCCATCCAGAAACTTCCATTTTATGGGGTGTGTAAGCACAAGTGAAAAAAAAAGACCTGTATTTTATGTTTACATCGAATTCATTAAAAAGATGCAAGCATAATATGTGGATAAGTAATATCCAGGTGCACACCCTTAGAGTCCACTTAGTATGGGTGCAAAAGTTCAGGTTTCTGGGTTTTCTTTTTGGAGCTATGCCAGCCACACATACACAGACATGAATTGTGCACATGCACACGTGCATATATGTCTGTCTGTGATTTCTGTTTGTAATATAAGAAACCAATTCTTTTCTGTGTGGTTTTTCACTAGCTTCCCTCATTAACCCTATCACCACGGGTATCCTTTACATCACATGACACAAGGTTTTAGTGTCTTATATTCAAAATTTTATTAAACTACTTTTTGTTTATGTTATACCAATTAGTATAGCATAAAATCTTAGCTAATAATCCATATTTTAATAGTATACAAGTTTTAAGTTCTGAATTCTACAAGGCAATATAAAAAAAATCCTGAATTTCCCCTAGTGTGATACATATTCTTTAGGTATCTTCTCCTTTTTATTGTATTTACTACCCCTCCAATAACTTTGAAATTAATTATAAATTACTTGTTATAAAATCGTCATTGCTCAGACAAACCATAGTTTTTATTGCCTTCTATTTTGTTTGGTTACAGAGCTATCAAATAGAAAATCAGGCCCCTCCAGCCACACCCCCTCTTTCAGGATTTGTTAATAGTTCTCTCTTACATTTAATTATATATTACCTATAACCAATAGAACATGAAGGTTTTCATCTATCAAATGACGTATTGTATAATGTTGTGTTCTGAATAGATAAGTGTCAATTTCACTTATAATACACATTTCATTCCCATGGGAAAGTTAACAACTAGCTTGGATGAACTTGTAACAGCTCTTGTTGCATAGTTAGAAAGCCAGAACAGTTTTGAGAGTCAGGAGAAATTGTCTACTTTTTGTATGTTATTAGTCTATGTTCTTTTGTGCATTATTTAATTAAATAAAAATTATTTAGTGCATTACTACCATTAGTATAACAAAAAAGGAGGGTTAAGTGTTATCAGCTATTGACAGCAAGAAAAAATAAGATTAGATAAGAACTTTATTTGTTGTTTTTTCATGTTTATTCTTTATTTGTTATTATAAAAGTAACTAAAATGTAAAAATAGGGATCCTTTTCGGTTAGTTAAGATTAGATTAGGTAAGATAAATAATTTGATAAAAATGTTTCATGAGACACGCAAGCGAGCAGCTCGGGGGTAATGTGATTTGACAGTGTAACGTAAGCTGCATGTTCCCCGAGTGATTTACAACTTATAATGGTGTGAATAGTAATTAGACATGGCTCAGAAGGCAATAAAATTTAATTACAAATAAATGTATACTGTTATGAGTTTAAAGCCACTTAGGATAAATAAATGTAGTTGTATGCTACATTTGAAGTCATTCTAGAAAGCATAAAGGGTAATTTAGATTTACTTAGTTTGGGGGGATTATGAAATCAGTCAAATTGACCAACCTTGTATAGAGTTAGAGTAGAGAAAATAAGAGATAAAATATCAAGTTTTACTGAAAACATTTAAACATTTGAAATGTATTTAGGAGGTTTTAGAGATTACACATGAAATTTGAGATTTTTGAGATAAAGTATTTTTAATCTTAACGTGAAAATCACCTTGCAAGTACTCAATATATTCATGGACAAATCTTTATTTTAGTTTATTAAAAATATGATTTTTTTTTTAATGTTAACTGAAAACTGCCAAATTTTGTGAATATACATATACACACTATATTGAAAGTTAGACATATTAAATCTATAAAGACTAAATGAGTACAAAGAGATCATGTGGTTGGTCAAGTTGACTGAGCCCGTATTGAGAGATTTAAAAAAAATGCATGCATGCTTCATGTGGATAAGTAACAATACCCAGGTGCACACCCTCAGGGGCCACTTAGTATGGGTGCAAAATTTCAGGTTTCTAGGTTCTTTGCTCTTGGAGGTATGGTGGCCACATGTTCCTTTCTATGTGGTTTTTTTTTCACTGCTTACCTTAAAAAAAGATTTGCGCTATTATTCTGTGTTTTTTGATGCATTATTTAATAAACTCTTCCATGAGCATCTTTTTCTGTACATGTCAAGGGGTTTTAGTGAGTTACATTCAAAATTTATTTAAACTACTTTCTTTTCATGGTATACAAATAAATATAGCGTAAACATGTAACTAATAATCCATATTTTAATAGTATATAAGTTTGAGACTTTACTTTTATAAGACAATACTTAAAAAAATCTAAAATTTTCCATAGCATTTGAACTGTAGCATAATTATCATAGCCTTCAATCTTATTTGGCTATAGGGTAGAAAAAATAACAGATAAAGTTTTACTGAAAAAAAAAACATTTGAAATTTATTTAGAAGGTTTTAGAGATTATGCAATAAAATTTGAGATTTTCTAAAAGAAGAAAAGTATTTTTAATCTTAACATGAAAATCACTTTGCACTTGGAGCATTCAACATTTTGGCTCCATATATTCACAGCAAAGTTTATAGTAAAAATACTTCGTTGAAAATTTTTTTTTTGTTGTTTTTTTTTATCTATAAAAAAACTTGATGTTTACTGAAAGCTTGCAAAATATTGTGAAGATACACAAAACATATTAGAAGTTATAATATGGAAATTATAAAGGCCAATTTGGGGTCATGAACTTGCAGAGATTTTATCTCAAATAAAAAAAAAGAACATTAGAAACCTATGATAAAGTATATATATATATATATACTTTCCTTAAGAAATGTGTTTATTACAGCTTATTATGTTGGTTCAGTGCTAATAAAAAACCAAACCCTGTTTTTGAGATATAGAGTGTTACATACATCTGACAGAATTTGGTACCATCTATAAAAACTACCAGTTTACATGTTTTCTGATCATTTGCGGAACAGTAAGAAATACAGGTGCACTGTTGTGTAATTCACAGACAGATTACGTTTTTTAGATATGTTATTGTAACTAGTCAGTCTCTTCAAAATGTCTGGATGAAAGTATTAGTAACCTTAAAATCTGTAATTGGACTTGTACTGAAATACACAAATATTCTGAGTTTTAGCTAGTTTTAAAAACTTGCATACCTGGTCCTGCTCAGAAATGTGCATATGTAACTGTTATACTTAACTTTAACACTTAAGGACAACAAGGGACCATACCATCTATTAAACTTAAAAAAAAAATTAAAGCCAGCCCTTGTAATTAAAATGTCTATCAAGCCTTCTCTTAAACTCCATTGAATTTACTGTATCTACCACATCTGAAGGCAGCCCATTCAAAAGGCCATTTACCTCGAAGGTGACTCCTACCCTGTCAAAATGTATATTTTTGTCCCCTTGTCCTATCATACTTTTATTATAAAGATTGTTTCACATTGTTAGCTTGGAATTTATATTTCAAACTAACTTAAATCTCTTAAGCTGATCAAACCTCACTGAAATATTGGTTTCCTAAGTAAAGTATATTATAGATATTATTTATTTATTGTAACAGTAGCAGTATTGGTTATTAGTTAGTATAATGAATCTCAGCACTTTTTCTTTTGATTTATTTATTGACTCTCCCAAGCTGGCCAAACCTCATAAGATATTATTGGGATTATGACCAAAAATACTGTTAACAGCTAGTAATGAAAAATACATTTTGATTTTTGTAAGTAAAAATGTAAATATATATATATATTTAATTAGCTATACTGATGGGCAAGTCAGTTTTTGGTTTTGCTTTAAGTACACAACTTATTTTGTTTAGAAGTTATTATTATTATTATTATTATTCTCTCCTTTAAGTATGAAAGAAGATGATGCATTGATGCTGTTCATTTCTTTAATATCTTAAACACCTCAGTCAAATGTCATTGAAATGTTTTTCAATAGAAAACAGTTTCAGAGATCTTAACATGTTCTTACATGATAACTTTTCCATCTCTGATATCATTCTGATAGCCTTTGCCTGAACCCTTTCTAATAATTTAATGTCCCTCCTAAGGTAAGGAGCCCAAGACTGAACACAGTATTCCAAATGTGGACTAACCAGTGACCTATTCAATATAACCTCTTTAGACATGTATATGTATTTCTGTAGATACAACTTAAAATCCTAATTGCTCTACCGCTAGCAACAGCACAATGCTTGAATGGTTTAAGAGACTGAACAACCAGAACACCAAAATCCTTTTCTTTCATAACACCATCCAGGTTATTCCTCATCAAAATTATACTTGTAATTCCAATAATGGTATAACCCACATGCTTTATCTAGCACTTATAATACATTTAATTTGAAATAATAAGTCATTTAATACCTCAGGGAAATTGGTTTCACTAAAAAGAATATTTGCCTTATTTAGTATGTGCAAAAAAGTAAAACTCTTTATTAAGTCTATTAATAACACACAAATTTAGAACTGTTGACTGCACATAGTTGAGGTCATGGTAGTGTGTTTAAATTAGAATTCAAATCTTAGTCATCATGGTAATGTATATCACTGATTGTTTTTGCATGTATAACCTTTCAATCAACAAACGTACTAATAACTAAAGGTAAAAACAGCAGATTAATAATGTTGATATAGGTGTTAGCACAACTTCACACTAATTCAGGACTACCATGTGTGAAAAGCTCTCAGTAGTCATGTCAGTTAGTTTGGTCTATATAATTAAGTTGTATAGGCATTTATGAATAATTAAATTTCTTGCTCATAATAGTTTTGTATTATTATGTTAGCATGAAGTGATTGCTTCAAGACATTGGTTTATTAATATTTTATGTATGAATTTGCTTAACACCTTAAGTTAACTCTGTTCATAAAAGACATAATCCATCCAACTAGAAAGTTAAGGGCAACAATACAAGTAAATACAAATAATTTATAAATATGACATCTAGAATCTTCAGGGAACACCATTACAGATCAGTTACAAAAAATATTAAATAGTTTATTTAACTTAAAATTTTAAATCAAAAAATAATTTTGTATGTTGTGCTTTAGTTATTTGCATTATAGTGACCAGCTTATAAATGTTTATATTTTCGTTTATTAGATCATCTCAGAAACTAAAATGGCTGATTCCTGGCGCCATCTGGCTCTAGAAATAATTGTAACACTCTCTGAAACTGCTCCTGCAATGATGAGAAAACTTGCAAGTAAACACATTACACAATTAGGTGAGTTTGATATTCACAAATTATTTTGCATGAAAGAGTACAATACTTCGTATGTGATTAATGAATTTAATTATTATGAGCTGTTGTAACTATAAACCATTTTCCAATCACGTGTAGTTCCCTTGATCTTCAATATGATGATTGACTTAGAAGAAGAGGAAGATTGGGCATTTTCAGATGAAACCTTAGATGATGACAATGACAGGTAAAAAATGATTTTTCATTTACTACATAGTAATGAAAAACGTTCAACTGAAAGATTCTGTTTAGATAATATTCAAGTAGTTAAGTGTTATCTGTAGAAGAGTATTCACACTGAAACATATATGGGGGAATTTGAGGAAGTGATACTTTCTTAATTCAGCCTTTATCTATTGTAAAATATTTTAGGTAACTGGTAGTGTAGTTGTGTATCTGATGTATTGTTGTTGTGTAAATAACATTTTAATTTAATAACATAAGATTACAAAAGCTAATTTAGGTATTTTGAAATCAGTACTGATTTGTATAACTTAGTGTATAACATAAGTTATTACCATTTATTAAAAAATATTCTAATAAAATCTGAATAATTGTATATATGTTTTTAATTGTTATGGAAAGTATTTGCTTATTTATGTAAGGCTGGGATCTTATAATTGCAAACTTTCTTTTTGTTACTCATGTGGTCAGAACCCAGATAGTCGATTTAGGTATTTTATAATATTTTCATTTTTGTCATTGACAAATGTGGTCATTTTAAAGAGTCCCAAGTACAAATTGAATTTATTATTGTGATATCTGTATTAATTGTGGAATATTCATTGTGAGTTACCTTTATATCTGTGATATCTTTATTTTTTTAATTCTAACAAGTCTTATAATTATACTTTTGACAGTAATCCAATGGTTGGAGAATCAGGGTTGGATAGGCTTGCTTGTGCTTTAGGTGGAAAAGTAATGCTGCCTCTTGTTGTTAACATTCTACCAACCATGCTTACTAGTGGTAAGTTTTCTGTGAGCTTGTAGTATTCCTTTATTTGTACATTTTTATTTTAATAATGGATTTTCCGTAAGTCAGCTACACAGATTCTGAAAATAATATTAATTTTTTTCTATTATGTAAGGATTTTTTATAAATTGGGAAGAAAAATATATTTTATTTACATCAAATTATTATCTCATTTACCACAATGAACAAACTGAAGAAAAGGGAAGAACATTGATGTCAAACAAACATTCATCCTCATTCCTTTTGTGAAATCTACATCTTTTAGTCTCAAACTATGTGTTGTTGTCTTTCTTTTATGTATTGCATTATGACATTTTGTGAAAAATCTGTATGTGATGGAGAAAAAGTAATATCATTTTCATATTCAGCATAGAGGAATTACTGTAGAACATGTAAAAATTTCAAGACAATAACATCATCGCAGGCCTGTGTTATTAACTATTTTTGAAGAATAACACAGTTTGATTTTTCAGCATTAGTTTGAAGTGGTAATTTATTATACATGCAAAAAACAATGCTAACAGTACTGTTCATAGAAATAATTTGCAATTGACCATTATGATTAATCTAGTATTTTTATAATTTTAAATATTTTTTCAGCATGTGTGATTACAGATCACAAAGTGTTGATTTACTTAAGCACTAAGAAATACATCACGCACAGCTACATGGCTGATTATTTCTTTTATGCTTCAGAGATGTGATGTAGGTCTCTAATGCCCCTACCTGTCAAAGCTGTAAGTCTTCAGTTTTCAGATGCATGTATTTTATTTACAAAATTTGGTGTTTCAACCTTTTTTTAAGCATTTCATTTGGGAAACATCACTTGAATGTAGAAAATTAAACTAAGGCAAATATATATGTATATACCTGTGTATATTAAGTAGTACATTGAGATTCTTTTGTTTGGTCCGATATGCAGTGTTAGTACTGAACAATGGGTTTTAAGCTATTTTGCTTTTCATTTTTCTTGCACTATTTCTGTGATTAAGATAAAAAAAAAATGTCAAGCTATACCACAGTTGATTTTTTCATTTTTCTGTCATTCAGTTCTTACAGAGCTTTCTCATTTGAAGATAAGATGTATCTAGCTTTGAGGTTAACAGTAGTAAAAAAAGTTATAGTAACAGTTTCAGTTATTATTCAGGTACCACCTTCTTAATAGATTTGAACCATTGCCTATATTGCAATGAGGAAAGAGATGAGCAAGAGGTTTACATAGTAGGAGGACTCTATGACTCAAAGAAAGATGGACTAGAATTTGCTAACCATATGTTGGAGTACATGATATCATAAAGCATGTTGATAGTTTACTTATTGGTGCCAAGGGATAGAAATGGAAGTGTGTCTCTTTGTGGAATGCTCTCTGGGACTAGACACTGGAAGATATTACTTTGCAGGATCCAAGGCTTAAATTAAAGATTTTCAGGGATGTGGTTAAAGCAACAAGTGTGTTGGTTAGATCTATAGGCAGTTTTCAGTGTAACGGTAAATTATATGCTAGAGGTTGGCTTCACTTAAGCAGATTAAGTAGTAGGATATTTGGAGAAGTCCTCATTGTATTCATTAAAGGTAGTTTAAACTCATAGTGATAAGGGAGTTTGGGAAATTGGGAATAAACAAATTTATATGATAGCTAAGGAAATGCATTTTAAAGATAAGTCTGTCAGATTTAAGGATATATATAGTTATATTAGTAGTATCAAGAATAAACTATGTTCTTAAAATTATAATGTTAGGAATATAAGGAACAAAATAGATGATTTCAGAGCTGTAGTTGAAATGGAAGACAACAATATGACTGAAACTTGGGTTGGATTTGACCCAGTGGTAAATCAGAAGACTTATAATGTTATAAGCCAAGTTTCAATACTCTTTATGTTTAACTACTAACAAAAATTTGGATAATATAGATAACAGGAATAATCTTCAAATTGCAGGTTACAAGTGTTATTTAATAGTGATAATAATATAATTTTTAAGATAGGGGGATAAGGTGGCACTTTATCTAAGGGATGGATTGCAATCTTTTAGGATTGAAAATGTAACAAAGGTAGTTAAGATGTTGAATCTATATTGGTTACAATCAAAGGTTTCAAGGGTAGAAAGCTAAGCTGACAACTGTTATAGGCAACCTGATCAGACAGAATGAGAAATTGTATAATAAAGTCATTATTGCTATTAATAAGAATACATACACAATAATGATGGGAGACTTTAATTTTGAACACATTGATTGAGTTTGTATGTAGTCAGATACTGAGGGAGAGATTTGTTGATGTAGTTCAGGATGATTTTTCTGTGCCAAGGAGCCAACTGGGTAGTGACATTTCAAACTTAATTTTAACCAACTGTGAGGATAGGATTGGAGAAGCTGAAGTAGAAAAATATTTGGGGAAGAGTAATCATTGCATAATTAAGTTAGATGTTTTGCTACATGATGAGATAAAAGAAAAATTATAGTTCCTAATTTTTAGAAAGCCAATTTTGAGACCATGAAACAAGATTTTTTGCCGTTAGTGAATTGGGATAGTGAGTTAAAAAGTTTAAATGGCAGATAAGATTTAAGATTTATGGAACTGTCAACATATTTATACATGTGTGACCCAATTTTCATGAGTGCTGCCATTAATCTGTTATGTGTTGCGTTAACCATAGCAAGAGTGAAAAGTAATGCACAAGTTGTAATCAAAACAATATTGATCTTTTATTTACATTTTTGTTCTTACACTTTTCTCTATAATTGTCATAGATAGTGCTGAAAAATATAATAACGGTGGGGGCAGTTTTTGTGCATTTAATGGTTGTTCAAATAATCACTGTACACTGAAGCTATGTGTGAAATACACGGACAATTGCACAAAGACTGTGGGTATTTAACACATTTAATTTTCATTTTTTGCCATCAGATGAGCTAACAAAACTTGAATGGATTAAACTGATTATTAACTGAAAAATATTGCTGAAGAAAGTGTATGTTTGTTCTGAGCACTTTTTTAGATTAATGCTAACAGAGATAAACCCGTACCCAAAGATAAAATTTGGTTATGAAACTAAAGCAACACCTGGTTGGCTGAAACTGCTGAAACATTCACAAAGTCCAAGTTTTAAAAAAAAGATAAATTGGCAAGCTGCAGTGGCAATCAAAATTAGGAAACATACACATTTGTGCAAAGCGAATTAGACAGTTTGATTGGTGAAACAAGTAGTATTATTTCTGATAGTATTTGTTATAAAAGCATTGCTGAAACAGCAGCCTTGTTTACACAGTATGATGAATTGGACCTTAAACTTTACAATGACAATTGTTATGCACAAGAATGGACAGATATTCAAATAAGATTTTGACAAACAAATGTAACTTTAACAGAGGAAATGGGGGTTCAAAGCAAACTTGAAGAAGGGACAATTTATGCAACTGAAAATTTGGTGACAGACCGTGATGCTGTACTATATACAGGTGTGGCAAAGCAAGTATTCTTCACTTTGGTTGAATGTATGTCTCATTTTAATTTTCAGCTGGAGACTGCAGATCAAATAATGCTGGTCCTAATGGGATTAAAGTTGCTCCTAATATTTGATGACCTTAGCTGCAGGTTTGGAAGTTCAACAAATTTGTAACTCTTGGATTATGGTCTTAGCTGAGTAATTGAAATCACTTATAATGTGGCTTCCAAGAGAAATAATAAGGGAAGGTTGTCCCGATTCTTTCAGGGAAAACTGTCCTCGTATAACATACATAATTGACTGTGCAGAAATATTTATTCAGAGGCCAACTAATCTCAAGAGTAGAAGTGAGACTCATAGCAACTATAAGTCCCACAATACTGCCAAGTATTTGATAGCAATATTTCCACATGGACAAATTATGTTCCTTTCAGAATCATTTGGTGGATGGGCAAGTGATAAATTTATTGTGGAAAAAAAGTAGATTTTTGAACTACCTTCTTCCTGGAGATGAAATTATGGTAGTCCTTGATTTTACTATTGATGACTTTCTGTTCCCAAGAAGAGTAAAAATTAACATTCCAGCTTTCACTAAGTGCTGAGGGTGTGACAGCCACAAGATGTATTGCTCACGTATGCATCCATGTAGAAAGAGCCATTAGGAGACTGAAAGTTTAAAAAATATTAAGCAGCACAGTGCCAGTATCTTCACTTAAACTTCTTGATGACATTCTTATCTTTGGGCTGCACTAGTAAACTTAAGAGCTGACTTAATACAAGATACTGATGTAAGTGATTAATGCACTATAATATCCACTATACTTCAACAAAAGATTATTTTCATATTAAATTCCATCATTCTAATATCTGCATTTTTATTATCTTTCTTAGGTTTTGTATAGAACTCATTACTTTGCTACTTATAGCAAGCTTTAAAGTACATGTAACCTGTAAACTGGTAAACTTTCTTGTAGTTTTTTTTTTTTTTTCCTCAAATTTCATAATACACATATTATTAACATATTATAAAGCTGAAAATTTACAGGGTTAGTGTTGTGCTGTCATTAAAAAAAATTCATACATACATGTACACAGTATATCATGAATCCTGATAAACTTTTGGGGACAAAAACTGTAAACTTTTTCACTGCATATTTTTTAATATAGCTGAATTTGTTCTTCAGATATATTATTTGATATAAATGAACAGACAAACATTTCTGTCAGGGTTTTTGTATATGGGCATGGATTCTTTATAGTAGGTGTGTGCGACTTCTTGGCGATAAATTTGAACAATAAACGGACAACATACAATCCACTTGTTTTAAAACAATATATTCAAAACGAGTCAAACATGTATGCAAAAAATTATTTAAACTATAGGATATCACAATTATATCTAAAACTATAAATAATTCTCTTTCTTAGGCTGACTCGATTACTTTAGAATCCAACTGACAAGACAAATTATTTTTCTCTTTCTTACTGTACAATCTTTGATGAATTCACTTACATTACCCTGTGGTTACCACACTTGTATCCAGAACTTCAAATAATTGTCTCCTTTTGTTAAAGTTCACACATGCAGTTTAATTACTTTAGAACACACTTTGACAAGACAAATTATTCTCCTTTATATCTATTATTACAATACTACTATGAAACTCACTATAAATATTCCCCATTACAGCTAAACTAACAATCGTGCAGTTTAACTTCACTTTCACCAACTTAATGTTTTCTGACGTCAACAATATTATGAAAGCCTAGTACAATAATTAAACTACATACACAACGTATGACTCGTATCCAGTTATATAATGAAACTTGTCATAACTATTGCTTTTAAAGTAATTAACTCTTAACACTTGTTATGAAAGATAAATAATAACTCTTAACCCGTTACCTGCCATGGCCATTTTGTCTTTTCGTGAGGGCAAAATCACATTTGTGAATTGAAAAAATTATAGAGAACTTATCTTTTATTGGATTTCAGATTTTATTTTTGTAAATAGTAGCATGACATTAAATTATTTATACAAAATTGTATTATTTAATGAAGTTTAAAGAGGAATTTAATGAAAAAACTCCTAAAATGTGCTTGAGACTGTAAATAAGCACCATCTAAGAAGAAAATTTGTAAAACATTTTACCTTCCTGCCATCTATGATTGGTAT